AAAGTGAGAAGAAATCGGCGTGAGAAACGATGTCTTTTCGTCGTCTCTGCCTATGCCCCGACAGATTGCAGCCCGGATGCAATCAAGGATGAATTGTACCACCAGTTAACTTTTCTTCTCCAGAAAAAGCGTTCGACAGATATTGTAGCACTAGCCGGAGACTTGAATGCTCAGGTCGGGCGTCTAGGCACAGAAGAGAGTCGTTTAGGTGGCCGATGGGGACTTGTTGGTCGCAGGACAGATAACGGGGAACGTCTACTGCATCTGTGCACAGACCACAACCTGTTTCTGGCTAGCACTAACTTTCAGCAGTCATCGCCAATGTGCCAACTGGCGTCCTCCTTCTGCATCTCAAGCCTGGACTCAGATTGATCACATCGCGATCAGCTACCGCTGGCGTGGTTGTGTACAAGACTGCCGCTTCTTTTGGAGTACCTATCCGGAATCTGATCATGCTCTGGTCTGCGCCAATCTTACCTTACTTTTCAGTGGACAACAAAGTGACCGGCACCAAAGGATTGATGTCAGCGAGTTAGTTGTAACTTCTGTTGCTAGTAAGTATCGAACCGAGCTAGCTTCTAGGCTAGCTACCATTCCACCGAAAAGTATAGATGAGCATTGGTTGCTATTGCAAGACGCCATGAAAATGGCGGGTCAAGTCAGTTGTGGGTTCGCGAAACGTCCCGCTTACAAGCACTGGGTTTCTTCTGGTTTCTTACAACTGATTGAAGCCCGTCGGTCTACCCCGGGTGACCGTGAGTTTGACCACAAACGAAGGATGTTTCGTAATAAAATCGGGCAAAGTTTGCGTAAGGACCGAGAAGCCTGGTGATCGGAGCGTGCTAATGAGCTGGAAGCAGCAGCTGCATCTGGTAATTACCGGAAGCTCTTCCAACTCATCCGAGCCACTGGCAGCAAGAAGTCTGGTGTGAGCGAAACAATCTGCGAGGCTGACGGAACGCCAATCACTAACATCCATCGACGTCTTGGACGATGGGCAGAATTCTTTGAAGGGCAGTTCAACTGGCCTGCTGCTCCGGCAACATCGGTCAGACTGTCCTGCCCTCCATGGCCGGTGACGGCTGATCCACCAAACGAGGCAGAAGTCCGCAAGGAACTCCAACTCTTGAAACGTTACGAATCACCGGGCCCAGACGACTTACCTCTGGCTCTTTTTAAAGATGGTGGTGACTTTCTGACTAAGGGACTGACGACGTTGTTTACGAAGGTCTGGGAACTAGAGAGTGTACCAACGTCATGGAATGAGTCGATAGTTGTCCCTATCTTTAAAAGGGGTTCACGTCGTTCCTGTAACAACTATCGGGGGATAAGTCTACTTCCGATTGCGTCCAAGCTATTGGCTTCCGTTATACTTCGTAGGTTGTTCAAAATCCGAGAAAGATTGACTCGCGAGGAGCAGGCTGGTTTTTGTTCCGGTCGAGGATGTATGATCATATCTTCACCCTCCGCCAAATGTTAGAACACCGCCATACTGATCAAAGGCCAACAATCGTAGTGTTTCTTGATATCAGGGCTGTCTTCGATTCGTTGGACAGAACTGTTCTCTGGGATTGTCTATTGAAGAAGGGTGTGCCTGAGAAGTTTATTAACATCTTAAAGGCTCTATACACAAACACCTCAGGCAGAGTGAGGGCATACGACCACCTTTCTCCACTATTCCATTCAAGCAGTGGAGTTAGGCAGGGTTGCCCAATCTCACCATTCCTCTTCAACTTTGCCATCGATGACATTCTGGAAACAGCTCTGACGGATGTAAGTAATGGTGGTGTGGATCTGTTGTCTGGAGAAAGACTTCTCGACCTTGAGTATGCGGATGATATTGTCTTACTGTGCGATAATGCCCAAGACATGCAATCCGCACTTAATCAGTTGGCAATCAATGTCCGTAGGTATGGTATGTGCTTTGCACCCTCGAAGTGCAAAGTACTTCTACAAGACTGGCAGGATTCTAATCCTGTACTCACCCTGGTTGGTGAGCAGATAGAAGTAGTCGAAAAGTTCGTGCATCTAGGTAGCTGCATAAGTGCTGGTGGTGGCGTGAGTGATGAGATAAATGCACGCATAGTGAAAGCCAGAGCGGCTTATGCCAATCTGGGCCATCTTTGGCGCCTTCGTGATGTTAGTCTGGCTGTAAAAGGTCGGATCTACAACGCGTCGGTGGGAGCAGTTTTGCTCTACGCTTGTGAAACCTGGCCTCTCCGAGTTGAGGATGTTAGACGACTCTCTGTGTTCGATCATCGCTGTCTCCGAACGATTGCTGACATCCAGTGGCAACACCATGTTAGTAATGCAGAGGTTCGGCATCGTGTGTTCGGGCAGAGAGACGACAATCCAATTGGTGTCACCATTTTGAAACACCGACTTCGGTGGCTTGGACATGTTCTACGAACGTCGTCCCAGAGAATTCCACGTCGTGCATTATTTGTCAACTCTGGGACTGGTTGGAAAAAGCGGAGAGGTGGTCAGTATATGACATGGTGTCGTGGTATGAAAGAAAGCTACAAAGAGCTGGATTCTGTTGGTCCTTCACGACTCCCTGGTTGGGATCCGAATGATGGTGTAACACAGTGGCTAGAAACGTTATCAGACATGGCTCAGAATAGAAGCCAGTGGCGATCCTGCTGTAACCTTCTTTTACTTTTTTTGTAAAAGGCGGTTGCTTCTTCCTTAACTGAAAGATTTCTTCTGATTATACGTTTCCGTTTCCCTCATTATTATTATTAATATTATTATTACACTACCTTACACTAATCTGTTCGTTATTGTTTTTTTACGCTCCTTACCTTCTTTTTTTCTTCTCTTCAAATTCTCATTGTTTTATGTGGCGCATATATATTTGGTGCCCTCTTGTACCAATATTTGTGTTCAAATCAATAAATAAATAAAGTAACCTGGCAGCGAAAGCAGAAGAAATGGAAAAGGCATCGGCTGTAGGTAACACTAGACAGCTTTTCAGACTAATAAAAGAAACTTTAATTAAGAAGTCATTTGTGAGACGATCTCGGAAAAAGATTACACTCGTATCTGCTCTCATCTCAGACGTTTAGAACGATGGGCGAACCACTTCAAGGAACAGTTCAGCTGACCTTCAGCTACTCTACAACTATCCACCATTCCCAAACAGCCTGAATGGAACATTGAAGTAGGTCTTTCGACTATAGTTGGAGTTGAAAAAAGCAATAACTAATCTGAGGCGAGGAAGATCAGCTGCTCGAGATTGATCGGCTTCAGATGTCTTTAAGGATGGTGGTCCAGTTTCAGCGATTAGGTTGACTAATATTTTAGCTAAAATCTTGTAATTGGTTGTAGTCTCATGTGACTGGTCGCAATCACTAATCGTCCCAATATATAAGAAAGGATCAAAATCATCCTGTGATAACCATAGAGAGACTAGTTTAACTAATATAGCATTTAAAATACTAGCCTCAATAATTATCGGGCGCTTAGCAATGACTTGTGAACTGCAAACACGAGAAAATCAGGCTGGTTTCAGACCTGATCGTTGTTGTATCGATCAATGTGTTCGTGAAACGACTCGCTAGCTATCAATACATCATCAATATACACAAAAACGAAATCTAGGCCTTTAGTGACCTCATCCATAAATCGTTGGAATGTTCGTGCGGCGTTCTTTAATCCAAATGGCATTCTCAGGAATTCGAACAAACCAAATGGAGTAATGATGGCTGTTTTTTGCTATGTCCTCGGATGCTAGTGGAATCTGATGGTACGCTCGCACAAGGTCGATTCTAGAAAAAAATTGTTTGCCGCGTAAAGTGAGCGAAAAACCATGTAAATGAGGGATCGGGTAACGATCCGGTAACGTTTAGTTATTTAATGACCTATAATCACCACAGGGTCGCCAATCTTGATCCCGCTTAGGCACCATATGGAGTGGGGATGCCCATGGGCTACTTGGCGGACGTATTATACCTAATTGCATCATGTGGTCGAATTCAGCCGTTGCAACCTTCGGTTTGTCCGGTGGTAATCGGCGTGGACGTGCCGATGTTGGTTGGCCTTTCGTGATGATCCGATGTTCTACAGAATATTGAACCGTGTTTTCACTGTAGTCCGGTTTCGTTATTTTGCAAAATTCAGATAAAATAGTCGCGAATATGTGGTTTCTTGGAGTGTCAATTTTAATACTATGTATGTGGTAGTCTGACTGAATTCCCAGGAATTGAAATTCGGTGCAGGAATCAATAAGTTTTCTTCTTTTTACGTCAAGTAATAGGTTATAGGAGCTTAAAAAATCTGCACCTAGTATAGATTGGCGGACGTCAGCAATAATAAACACCCGGGTTAAATGACGTCTAATTCCCAAGTCTAATGTTAGAATTTGTTTGTCGAATGTATTTAGTTCCGTCTTATTAGACGCCCTTAGGGTATATTTTCCACTCTTAGCAACGGGTTTGTTGGCTAAGGTAACTGGAATGACACTGATTTCGGCTCCAGTATCTACTAAGAATTTGTATCCTGAAGTTTTATCAAAGACTTGGAAAAGACGAGTTTGAGGATGATCTGAAACATTTGTTGCTACCAAGGTTTGGTTGAAACTTTTTGTTGAGGAAAATGACTTGAAAAGTTTACAAGACCTAACACATTTCCTAGCTTTGTCACCAAATTTTTTATGGTACCAACAAATTCCAACCGTATGCGCGGGTGACTTTGAGCCATGTCCAGACCTGTATCTTTTTCTCAGTGTTGGTCTGGTGTGGTGAGATTTAATCGTTGCAATAGAAGCTTTCAGTGACTGTAGTTGACTTGTCAAGTGTGCTAATTGTCTTTCGAAAGAGACTAAACAACTGGTATTTACTGTTCTCGGTGGTTGCATTTCATTTATTTGGTGGCTGTCATGATAAACTTCCGTCATTTTATCTGCCATATCCGCCAGTTCGTCTAGGGTGACAGAATCGCCTGATACACTAAGGATTTGTCTAACATTATGTGGCAACCGTTGAAACCACATTTGTTTCAGCAAGGCTTCGTCTAGTTTTTACGGGCCCGTTAGTTGTTTCATATGCTGTAACAAATGTGATGTCTTCCTGTCACCTAATTCGCATGCTGTGAGGAGTTACTGAAGCCTTTTTTCATCAGATACTGTTGTGCATTGTATAACAGCGGCCTTAATTTTTTCGTAAGGGACGGTTTCTGGTACTTGGTCAATTAAGTCTCCGACTTCAGCGGCGATTTCTATGGGAGGTGCTCCGACTACATAGGCATATTTAGTCGCCTGAAAGCGTATGCCTCTCGCTAGAAATAAGGCTTCTACTTGTGCGAACCAGATTCTGGGGTTGTTGGCACCGTATACCGGTAGTCTGAACTCGGAAATGGCATTGACTGAACTAAAGGTATTATCGTCTACATGTGATAAGTTGAGGGGATTCATTGAGGAACATTCAATATCGATAAGTTTATTCGGAGAGTACATGATGTGAAACAAAAAAACTACTGTTTTAAGTAAAAAAATAAAAATATAAACGATATAACTATTACAATGCACTCGAGGCTCACCAGATTTGTAGTGAACCCCAGCAAATACAGATTATTGGATATACATCTACACACTAATTTAATAATAATATACCATAAAAAGTTAACATTAAAAATCTTAAGTGTCTGTTTACGAGTAAAACCAAAGTTAACAGTTTAGTTATAATACAAATGGTATATTATTGAGCAATATGATAATAACAATTATTAAGGAATGAATGTTACTTGAAGGCTGCTCTCTGGGATGACAACTACAAATATATCCACTTGATTAATGTAGATTCCCCTGTGAATGATGGCACTGACGGTGTGACGAGAAAGACAGAGTCCAATAGTATTATGTAATAGTAATCCAGGCCAAAATACCAACGTAGCGTAGGAAGGCCTAAAAGGATATTATAACACTATTATAGTCTTCGGTCAAAGGCCGTGGCCAATAAAGCAGAAGGGCAGACGACGTAGATAACGTGCTATATTTCAATCAGCGCGGTAGTAAAAGTGTATTCAATTTTCCAAAACAATTATCATCGTTTTTTTAAATAGGTGATACAGAAAAACAACAGATATTGAATAAAATGTGGTTACAAAAAATCACGGAATATACGTCACCATAATAGAAGGACATTTCCCTACATCTAAAGTCACCACAGAAGCTTATGACTAACGATATTATTTGATCAGCATGTAAAACCTTAAACAAGATTAAAGAGTGACTTTAGATATGTCCACTTACTTTTCAGAAAATGGGTATTCACTAATAATAAGTTTGAATAAGATCACTAGGTAAAGTCTGTATGAAATCTCTCTGTCAACGTATAAAATCTATCAATGTAATCAGGAGAATAGCCATCAGGCCTTGCAATATTCAGCTCGTTGGTCGAACAGTCTAATGACTAGCTAAACATATTTCTGGGTGGTGCATTAGTTACAATACTTCTGGTCTGATCGATGTATGAAGCAGCCAAATGCATTCAACTTGGACAAATATCTTAAACGGACTGTCAAGTGCTTTTTGCATTTTATTCTTTCGAAAAGACACTTATTGAGCTACATCCTGTTTTGGTGTGTTTTTTAGTACTAGACAAGTTCTGCTCTCTTTTGTATTTTAAGACCTCAAGACCATACATGATTTTAAATATCATTTTAGGCCTTGAAATTATACAAATTATTTCGGAAATGTCTAGGGAAAATTCTCCATATATTCAAATTGAAAGAACACTCTTAATTATTAAGCCGGATATTATTAATTATGCAGATAAAATAGAAGAGCTTATCTTACAAAAAGGATTCTTGATAATACAGGTAACTATCGATTCCTCAGAATGCATAACAAAAATTAATGCATTTGATAGAAAAGACGCGTTCATTTGACACCAGAACAAGCAAGCGAATTTTATGCAGAACATTACGGGAAAATATTTTATGCAACATTAATTGCCTACATTAGCAGTGGTCCGATAGAAGTACTAGTCATAGCTAGAGAAAATGCTATATCTATTCTCCGTGAATTAATTGGTCCACAAAATGCATTTAGAGCTAAGGCGACCGCACCTGCAAGGTAAACTTACTAACATTCTTATTGAATATTTCTTGTATAGTTTAAGAGCTATTTATGGTACAGATGATCAACAGAATGGAATACATGGAAGCGACTCGTTTACAAGTGCTGAAAGAGAAATCAGATTCTTCTTCCCAGATAGTAAGTGGCGTGAATGAAGTTTTGTACTTCTTTCTCACAAATCTCATCAAACCTACCATACTACTAATAATCATATTCTTACTGAAACTAACTTTGGGGTAATTTTTCAGAGATCCAGTGAGAATCTATGACCGATGGAATTGAACCATGTCGACCACGAGATAAGCACCATTGATTACGGTGGATGATAGTCACTCAATATGGGAGAGTGACTTGAGTTGAAAACATAAACCCTCGATGGCAGTTCAGTAATTTGAAGTTTGAGCGATTCTGACGAGAACTGGAGTTTTTAGGTTTGAGCTCTGCTAGGATCGTTTAGGGAAGCTGACGAGGAGTCTCACATTAGAACAAAACGCCGCACTAGTACTTCCTGATTTTTAACAGCTTCCCAGCTAAATCTGGTACCTGATATAAAATATAAACTATTTTTTACTGTATGCTTATGATAGTGGAAAGTATGATTACGTGGCGCCAAAGAATCACTCCGAAATCAACTTTGCCCTAAAATTGACGTAAGCCTATTAGTTTTTGTTTACATTTCAACATGTGTCTGGCCCATCCACTTTTACAGTAAGAGAAATGGTTAGGAAGTGCATTTGTAAGGTAAAGCTTGGTTTAAGATAACTCAAATTAGCTTTAAAACAACAAAGGGTTGATGACAATATGTTTTGAATGGTAAAAGTTGACCGAGCTTGTCAACAGGAAACTGAAGATATATTGATGCATCCTGGTTTTTATCCATCATAACAGTTCCAAATATCTCGAATAGAAAATTTGTGAAAATTATATGATGAATTAGCACACTGATTCACGATTTCCAGACTTCAAGACGGTTCTCTGAGTGTAAAATAAAATCCTGACGTGGAACCCAAATGTTGTTATAAAAATTCATTTTCTCTTCTAGCATATGCACATCAATAAACTCATTTGAAGTTAATAGAATCCATAAAGCTGTCTACGAAATCCGATACTAAGCGCCAAACCTACCTTCGGTAGCTTACATCAGTACTTCACAGATGACCAAGTCACCCGAATAAGTAATACAACCAACATACCCAAAGATTTCACCACCCCCATTTTTTGAACTAGATTTCAGTGTGAAACCATTATCTTACTGTTAGCTTATATGAAAATACGGGATCTAATCCACCTAAAATATGGGAACAGGATGCTTTACGAAGGGTACTTTCAAGAATACAGAGGGTAGATTGACTAATCAAAATAATGCAAACTTAAAATATATGTTTAAACAAAGTTTTCATGCTTTTAAAATTGCGTGGTTATTTTTTTCGCACAATGTAATGTTCCTATTATTAAAATTACTCATTCATTTAGTGATCGTTGCACCGGTTCCCGTAAGACTTGCAGCAAAAGATTATTTAGTTCGGAATGTAAACCCAACTTTACTAAAAGGTTTGACAGAACTGTGCAAACAAAAACCTAAGGATCCAGTAGTAAGTTGACTTATTGATTTTTTCAAAAATATTTTCGAACTCACGTAATAGTATGTAATAAATACAGGATTATATAGTTCTCATGGTTTTAGATGAACCTGGACTGTTTATGTTAAAAGCTTTGATTTCTTACCGTTGGTTTACTAGACTGAGTTAATTAATCACTGAAACATTTTTGAATATCGAATTTTATTGGTTTGGAAGTTTGCTTTTATTCTAGTATAGACTTAATAAACACTAGAATGAAGTATGTACCTAGTAAATGGGTTCTAAATACTGTAGAATTTAAATCCTTAGTTCCAACAATGACCACAATTAAAATAAAAGTTCGGATAAAATAATAGTAGTACTCGTAGTGGTAAATTTGAATTTGGAATGTAAAGCAAACTGATACTGCCACAGTTACATTGGATGTGATACTCTCATTTTGTAGGTAAAAAACGATTTCGCGTTTAAAACTACGACAGTGTAAAGAAACAGAAGATGACGTAAAGCTTTTTTTGTTTACAAATTAGGCATTCAGTAATATCACATTGTTCTTTGATATTATTGTGATCGACGAGGCCGTTAAGTCGCCAAAAACAATTCACGGATAAGATTATCTTATTGCTATTAAGTTTTACATGTATATGAAACTTCAATGATCTTTTAGGTGCTCAGTTAAATGGTAAGTTGATGAGCTACTGGGATGCCATATTTTGTTTAGACGCATGGTGACGTCCTTTATCTGTGCATTGATGTTTCAGTGTAATTAGATTTCGACAAATCGGGCGACTTTTTACTTGCATAATGATTTTATGCTTGTGAATAGCTCAATGACATGTACCTGATTCATTACTAAGAGAATAAAATAAAAACACAGCTCTCCGCAAAGCTCACTAATTTCACGTGGAATCTCAGTAAAATATTCCCGTCTACCTACAATTTTGTAAGTTAAAATATCTCAGTGATAAGGATATATTAAATTGCTCTAAACATTATTCAACTGGGTTCCTTTCATCAGCTCCCCAATTACCATATAACTGTGATCGGTACCCTATACTATTTCGATCATGTTGTTCAAATAAATTAAATTTCAGTTATCGATTGGGATTGATTTTAACGCTGTTAAGCCACTGAAGATAGATGTTCCTTTCATAAAAATTGAGTATTATTACTTAACGTCTCCTTAATCTTCATGTACATAAAAAACTTGAGACTTTTAACACTTGACATTGAATGGTTTTTATTGATAACAAATGCTTGTGTTTGATTTTCTCCTTGCCTAGCTTTGGCTGGCCGACTGGCTGCTGGAAAATAATCCAAATAAACCTCATCCCATCGATATGGTCACCTCTTGAAACACTAATAAGAAAAATTTAAAGAACGTATGAGGGATTATGAGAATGCAGTTTTCAAACGAACCTATAGTCATATCTGAAAATAAATATGTACTTCACTTTGTTATATTTCGTCATAGTAATAGATGTGAAGCGGTAGTGAGTTACAGTCCAGCGTGACGAATTCCGTGTTACCTGTAATGTATTTACGAACTGACCACTGAGTGAAAGCACATCAATGGTGTTTAATTTATATAGGAGTACCAGTACTTGAATACTTTGTAATCATCAAGTAAACAGGTTACCAAAACACTATAACTTGCTAACATGTTCGAAAGTGTACATCTATGAATATAGTTAAACCACTGTGACGACGGACCGCGGGTAAACTCGAGGAAGCTATAAGAGGCTCAGAAGGAGCAGAAGATATTCCAGCCAATCACCATTAGCAAGAATATTCTAGAATCCCTACGTGTAGCTTCCCGATTGGACAAGGCTAATAACCCCCTGTATGCGGATTGGAGGACTATAATGATGATTTTTGTTCTTACTAAAACTATAAATACCTGACAATTTGTACCCATAATTGACTCTGTTTGGAATAACATTCCTTTCACTAGTCTTCTGTCTTCTCTTTGCGACTTGGAAGGGTTTGGGCGTTCGTGTGTTCAGTTGTACTCGTTATATCAAGTAAATCAACCATTTCTAGATATAACAACTGGCGACGGGTTATCATATCAAGATGTCATTTACCTTTGAACAACTTGAAGCCTTATTGGAACGTCAAGAAAAACGTTTCGAACAGTTCCAGATGTGCATGATAGAAACACTGACCCAGAAAATGAACCTGAATCAAAAAGAAGTTGCAAATGATCCCTTCAAATCTCATGTTGACCATATCATCGATTCTATCCATGAATTTAACTTCGATGCTTCAGCTGGTATTACTTTTGAAACCTGGTTCAACAAATATGAAGATTTGTTCAAGGTCGACCTCAAAAAACTTGATGACGCCGCTAAGGTCAGAATACTCTTACGAAAACTTGGAACTGTTGAACATGAACGTTACAGTAATTTTATCCTTCCAAAGAATCCAAGAGATTTTTCTTTTGATTCAACGATCGAAACTTTGTCGCAAATATTCGCTGAACAGTCATCTTTGTTTAATATTCGTTATCAATGTCTTAAGATAACAAAAGCAGTTGACGATGACTGGGTGAAGCATGCGGGGTTAGTAAACCGTGAATGTGAGCGCTTCAAACTATCAGCATTGACAGAAGATCAGTTCAAGTGTCTAGTGTTCGTGTGCAGCCTCCAATCTCCTGAAGATGCCGATATTAGAACCAGAATTTTGAGTAAAATTGAACAATGTCCAAACATGACACTACAGGAAGTAACCACAGAGTGCCAAAGATTGGTAAACTTAAAACACGACACTTCCATGGTCGAAAATAATGGCCAGTTGCCATACGTTCATGCTGTAACTGGAAAGAAAGATACCGGCTCAAGAAAATCATCACACACAGACAATCAGCCCTCATCTCCATGTTGGTCGTGTGGAGGTTGGCACTATAAAAGGTTCTGCCCATATAGAGAACATTATTGCAGTAAATGTCACCGAAAGGGCCATAAAGAAAACAGATGCAGAAAAATAACCCATAAACGACATTCTTCGAAGCCCTATCTCAAGAAATACAGACATAATACACTAACTAACAAAGTATTGGTATCACATAATCGAGCACGAATTTGCCGCCGACGAAAGTATGTGAATGTAGATATAAATAAAAAGCCTGCCCGCCTGCAGCTCGATACTGCTTCCGACATCACACTTATCAGTCGAAGAACCTGGAAACTTATCGGAAAACCACAGGTGCTACCGACAACCCAGTTAGCTCATAGCGCTTCTGGAGGAAAGTTGAACATTGTTGGAGAGGTTTGTTGCACAGTCTCAAAAGGAAACGCGAAGACAAAGGCAACACTATATCTCACAGAGAACCCAGGACTAGATTTGCTGGGTCTAGACCTATTAGAAACACTACAATTAACAAATAACTCCATCAACCACATATGCAGCGCCGTAAGAACCAGTAAACCAGTTGAGAAGGATCTGAAGAATGTTGTGTTAGAAAGACATGGTCAAGTGTTTACAGAAGAATTGGGGGAGTGCAAAAAGGCAAAAGCAGTACTGATTCTTAAACCGGGAGTTACCCCAGTCTTCAGACCAAAACGTCCTGTACCTTATGCAGCGTTACCTATTGTTGAGCAAGAACTAGAGCGTCTGCAAAGTAGTGGAATAATAGAACCAGTGAACTTTTCCGATTGGGCAGCACCAATAGTGATTGTCAAAAAGCCAAATGGAAGTATCCGGTTATGCGCAGATTATTCGACTGGATTAAACGAAGCACTTGAAGTTCATCAATACCCTTTGCCGGTACCAGAAGATTTATTTGCAAAACTGAATGGGGGTAAGTATTTTGCAAAATTAGACCTGTCAGAAGCTTATCTACAGATTCCAGTAGCGGAAGAATGTAGGCATTACCTGACAATAAACACTCATAAAGGATTGTTCCGATATAACAGACTTCCTTTTGGAGTAAAAACAGCCCCTTCAATCTTCCAACAAGTCATGGATACTATGTTACAAGATATTCCTGGTACTGCGGCGTATCTCGATGACATTCTGATCATGGGTACAGACTATGCTGACTTAGAGAGTAAGGTCGACACGGTGCTTAGACGCATAGCAGATTATGGGTTCAGGTTGAGTGCTGAAAAATGTGACTTTTACATGGAGCAAGTCCGTTATTTGGGATTCATAATCAATAAAAACGGGAGAAAACCTGATCCTGAAAACGTTGAAGCCATCAAGTCCATGCCCCCACCGACGGATGTATCAACTTTACGTTCTTTCTTGGGAATGGTTAGTCATTATGGCGTCTTTCTTCCAGATCTGCATCGCCTTCGTGCTCCACTTAATTGCTTGCTGATAAAGGATACCAAATGGTTTTGGTCAACCGAATGTCAAGAAGCATTCCTAAAACTAAAGCAGCTCCTATCATCAGACCTTCTACTTACACATTATGACCCAGATCTTCCAATTATAGTCGCGGCAGATGCGTCGAATTATGGAATCGGAGCTGTAATTTCACATACCTATCCTGACGGGTCTGAGAAAGCAATCGCCCACGCAGCAAGATCGCTGACTATGACTGAAAGAAACTACAGTCAGATTGAGAAAGAAGCTCTCTCCATCATATTCGCTGTAAATTAGTTTCACAAGATGCTGTTTGGCAGACAGTTCACTTTACTAACAGACCATAAACCGCTATTGACAGTATTCGGATCTAAAAAAGGTATCCCGGTATATACAGCAAACCGGTTACAGAGATGGGCAACTACGCTACTGGGTTATGATTTCAAGATAAAGTACCAACCAACAACCGACTTCGGACAGGCAGATGCCCTCTCAAGGTTCCTATTATTAAAATTACTCATTCATTTAGTGATCGTTGCACCGGTTCCCGTAAGACTTGCAGCAAAAGATTATTTAGTTCGGAATGTAAACCCAACTTTACTAAAAGGTTTGACAGAACTGTGCAAACAAAAACCTAAGGATCCAGTAGTAAGTTGACTTATTGATTTTTTCAAAAATATTTTCGAACTCACGTAATAGTATGTAATAAATACAGGATTATATAGTTCTCATGGTTTTAGATGAACCTGGACTGTTTATGTTAAAAGCTTTGATTTCTTACCGTTGGTTTACTAGACTGAGTTAATTAATCACTGAAACATTTTTGAA